AAAAAAAAAAAAAAAAAACAGAAACCTGTGATTAAAGCAGTGTCCTTGGGTATGAGGACTCATTATCCTCTCCTCCTTTCCAGGAGGGCGTTCCATGCAGGTATGGTAAACAGACCATGGGAGGATACAGACTTTGGGGTTTGGGGGCACAAGAGCCAAGCTCCAGCCCACAGAGCCCAGAGCTGCCTGGCTCCAGCTCCGGCTGCTGAGGACAGACAGTACCTGAGGCATACCACTTTCCCACTGCTACTTCAGTTTCCCTATTTGCAAAGAAAGTTTCCCACTGAATGCGAAACATCACTTTACCAAATGATTCTCAGGTATGAAATATACTGACCATCATTTTAACACATGACTCTCATGTATGAAATATGCTAAATATGTTAACAATGGAAAGCTTCAAAAAGATTCAACTTTTCCATCCACTAAAGTGTCAGAATTTATCCCCTGGGACTATACTAAAATTTACAAAAAGACACGTGAAAACATTGCTAAGAACCAAGCAAAGAGACGGGATGAGAAGCAAGAAGAAATATTCTTCCGAAGTAGCACTAAATGACAGGAAGGTTTCTGGCTCTTTTTGTTGTTGTTGTTAAATGTACATTCTGTACTATATTCTCTACTTTAGAGGCACTGGGCCACTACAAACATCAGGTCACTAAAACTCTATTTAGTTTAGGAATGTAAACATCAAACTAGAATTTCTGCTAAGGGCTATCAACAGTTTTATTAGGGTGAATGGACTTATCTTGGGAATTGCATCCAAAACAATAAGTAAAGTAAATAAAAATCAAACCGGTTGGCCTTGGCAATAAAGTTGGAAAAGCATCTCCTACTCCATTCCCAGTAGCATCTATCATATCATTGTCTCCCAAGATTCTATCCATCTCTTCCATTTCATTTAGGAATAGAACGTTACTGTAAATATGAATATACCCCAAAAGTACATAGGACAAATGGTATCAGCTTCAACTCCAGTCTACCTTCTCCCCACCTCTTTTGCCAAAATATCAAAACACTAAACAGATACAGACCCATGAATCCTCAATATCAGCATGTGAAGAGAAAAAGCGGGTATTAGAGGCAGCATGGCATAGTCGTAGATTGCTGGACTTAGTTCACTGGACTCATCATAAGACTGCCCTACTAGCTATGGGGGGGCTATAATTCCTACATGCACGAGTACAAATGCTCATAAACTCTAGGACCCCCTCGTCTTCCCAATAATGGAAGTATTTTATTTTTTCAGATTGTGAAAACATGGGGCCAGGGATTTAGCTCAGTGGTTCTGCCGCCTGCCTCGAAAGCGCAAGGTCCCGAGTTGGATCCCCAGTACCAAAAAACAAAACAGAACAGAACAAAAAAATAGAAGATGCCAACAGATTGTGAAAACAGAAAAGAGAAACAGAAAGGGACTTTTTTCTATGCGGGAAAATTGTCATCAAAACCAGAATTCCTAGATCCCAAGTGCATAAATCTATTCACGAGTGATCAATGTTGTGGCTGCAAGATTAAATGCAGAAAGTGAAGATGTCAGCTTGGGAGGCACAATCAATTGCGAATTTCAGAACTGAACTGGAAGGGAAGTGAGACGCTCACTACAGAGGTCCCTGAGGAGTCTCGCCCGGCCGTCCTGAGAGGGGCAGGCAGCACTAGGGTGAGTATGGGCTGGGTCGGGGAGACGCACAGACCTACGAGGGGAGCTGGAAAAGGGTGCTGAAGCCAAGAGGCGGAGGAAGGCAACATCTTTAAGCAGCAAAGTCTGTCTTGGAGAAAGAAAGGGGCAGGCGAACAGGGGTAGAGGGGGGCGCTCAGGAAAGACTATGCCAAAGCAATGGAAGTGATCGGGAGAATAGGACAGCACCCGCCCATCGTCTTGTTCGGGAAACGCCGATCCAACGAGAAATCAAACACCCCGGGAAGGGGCAGCCAGGGCGGGGCGCGGGAGTGAGCAGCCCGAGCGAGCAGGGAAACGTGCGCTCGCTCGGACAGCGGGGACACGGGCGGCGACACGGGCACAAGTCACGGACGGGAGCCGCGCAGCCGGCGGAGCAGAGCACGACAGTGGGACGGCCGTCGGACAGCACGCGCGGGGCACCGAGGAGCCCGAGAAGGGGCAATGAATGAGCGGGGCCGTCGGGCACTCGGGACGGGGATAGGGACCGGGGCGGGGACGGGGACCGGGACCGGGACGGCGCGGCGCGGGGAGGAGCGGTCGGACCCGGCCGGGCCGGGCCGGGCCGGGCCGCCCTCCCGCCCGCGGGCCGGTTACCTTCGCG